TTGTAATTAGAAATATATTAAATCCAGATAACTCACTGTTATATATACTACTTGCAGATATAGCAAGTTCAAACCCTGTTAGAATCTTAATCTTAAATTAATCAGTTAAATGAAAATTAATTTTTGATTATTAATATTTATACAAGATGACACGCTGTGCATCTGTAGACTAATTTATTTGTAAAGAATACACCATTATTTAGTTTTGATTCTTTGATAAATCCATGAGTTTTATTTTTATTAACAAAAACTTACAATAAATCAGTTATACATACTCTAGTTTATAAAAAAATACTTACATTGAGTTATTTTAATCCATAAAATTATTCTATAAAAATTAATATACAGCTCTATACATGTTCTTACAGAATAGCTACATCTTTCACAATAAATATTGCAAAATATAATTTTGTAATCAATAAAATGTGTAAAATATTTGCTAAAATTATATCACATTTCATTAATCGAGAAAATGAAAACATTTGGAAGATAAAACTAAAATTCTAAGTTAAAACACTAATTAAATATAATTTATAGCTAATATAAGCTAATACCCAACTCAAATATATATAAATCGGAGAGAATTTCAAATATTTTATTAATATATTATTGTAATGAAATTTCGAGTAACAAGATAAATTACATAATTAATTAATGGGATTCATTTCGATTAAATAGCGAGATAACGGTGCGCCGCGCCGCGTCGCGCCCGCTTAGCGTGCCGCGCGCCGAATAAATATGGCGCTAGGCTAAAGCGCATTTAGTGTCATAAACGAGGGAATGCGACGGTTATACAAAGTAGGTGAAAAAGAGAGAAAGCGAGACTTTCGTTGGGGCGACAATAATTATAACGGGCGATTTTTATATAAGCGATCGCGCGACGAGATGTCGGTTTCTGTGCCAAACCTCTCGTCAAGTATCATACTTAAGTTAACGATGGCTCTTCCCTATGCCAATTGGCCAAGAGGGAATTAAAGTGACAGATGGATAAAACAATAAAAAAGCGAATAGAGTACAACAGCAGCAAAAATTGTCGTACGAAGAAAATTTTTCTCTTTTAACAAATGATCTTCGGGAATATTTTCTTATTCGTTTAAACAAATTACCCCGGAAGAGTTTTTAACTTGACGGTAATTATCTGGCAGATACCGCCATCCCAGAAGATATCCGATTTCTCCGACTAGTTTGTTTATGCAATAAAAAAACCAAAAAGAAAAATAAGAAAATACTGGTTTTAAAGCCAACCGGGTGAGTAGCGCGATTGTGTATAATTAATCAAGCTGTCTCTATTTATAGTTCGCGAACGCTTTACCTATTAGCTTAGTTTTCGATTAATCATCTAAAAAAATGCAACAAAGAAACCCGTCTTAAAATAACGGAGTATGGCGGCCAAATATATATATATATATACGTATAAGTAGTTTTTCTCGATAATTGCCGTATAAATTATTAAGCGATGCATAACGTAACACTTCGTGTTAATGTTCTTCATGGATATGTTCCATTTATAAAGAATATAATGCAATAATCCACGGATCCGTATTATACTTCACGATGGGCCAACGTAATTATTAATTCACATTTTAAAAAAATTGGCATTCCGTTACGAATGTCTGCAATATTTTCCCGGATAGATGAAATTCTCTGCCAGTTAAAAATAAATTATAAAAACATGCGCAAGACGGAAACTTAAACGACATTGTCCCGTTGCAAAGGGAAAAACTAATCGTCTCAAATTCGATCTTACGCATGTAAAAGCCATTAAAAAGAAAAAAAATCCAACTCACCTGAAGTTCCTGAACTTCCTTTTCTAGCTTCATCCTTTCGGATATTTCCGATTCTAGCATCTCGGAAACATGAGTGGACGTGGCCTGTTCTTCATTCAGATCCGACCAAAGTTCCGACACCTGAGAAGATGATGATAATTTACGATCCGCTATTCTACCACTATTATATCTGTAAACACTTTCCTTGCTGGGGGGTGGGGAAGTCAGTCGAGAGGGAGAAGTCAGGCGAGCGGGTGAAGTCAGGCGGGTGGGAGAAGTCAAGCGAGTGGGAGAGGTAAGACGAGTAGGGGAAGTAATACGGGGTGGCATCTTCGATGAAGGAGTCTTCAGGATTTCAAGAGAACGTTCTACAGAGCTGTATCGATTCCTGCTTAAAGATCGGGTATCGTTGAAGATACGCTGAGTCAGAGAAGGCTTTTCGTTGGACTTTGACAGGAAACGAAAACTGTTAGATCTTTCTTTCATATCTTGATACTTTTTTGACAGATACGATGATACATTGGATGTACTGGTACTCTTTTTTATTTCCGCTTTGGCTTCGGTTTTCTTGACGATATCGCTCGACACGCTGCCTCTGTTGTTATAATTGGTCACCGTTTTTTTCCTGATGGGAATGGGTGGAGTGGGGTTGGCATCCGATTTCTTGAATACTTTCTGCAGTTCTCTAATATCGATGGTCTGGACATTTTCCTTCTGAGAAGTGGCCGAAGCTTTACCGGTTGCCATTTCCGACTTAGTGACGTCGGATACTTTCTCTTTGCTTGCTGCAGATTTTTTATCGCCACCAGAAATAGCATTTAACTGATCGTTTGATTTACGATAAGCCGAATTAGCGTTGTTGTTGTTCCCGATGTTGGTTTTCTCACCATTGGTCCGATTCGGATCTTTGCCATTGGATACACCTCCGGATACCTGTCCCATCTTCGCCGTTTTTTCGGTTTCTTTTTTGATGGGTGCGATAACAGATATCGGCTTGACTAGTCCATTTTTTGGTGGTACCTGGCCGACCTTTACTACATTGCTATTATTAGTGGTATTGGTTTCCGTTTTCTGGACGGGAGTTGCCATTTTTTCAAGCTTTTTTTCCAACTAACAAAACTACAACTACTATTAAAAGCAGAACTAAAATCCAGTTTGGCCCTTGTATATATATATTCACATATTGGTCCTCATCGCATCGCAACGGATAAATTCTCCCCGAAACGAGTCTTCTGATTGACCTTGTCCACCATTTCACTCTACTTCCCTCTCATCGTCTTGGGAAAATGCGGTTTGACTGAAGCTAACACGTGCTTCACCTTCTTATTACACTAGTTTGTTCCTATTGGCACGAGCCTTCTCGAGTCTATTTTTGGATTTTCGTGTAACGGACTTTCTCTCTTATTTTGGGAGAGTCTAGTGTCGTGTTCTTCAGACCGATAACGCTTCCACCTCTCGACTGCATTTCTAGACTCCCGGTATCCAAAAAAATATATACGGTTTCGAGGCCATGCGGGGTCAAAGTTCAGGCTAAACCTTTGGCATCCCTCCAAAAAGTCGATACTCTGCCGGGATAATAAAGTTTGGCCGACGAGACGAGTTCCTGGTGAAAATGCACAGCTTAGCACATTCATTCCATGCCTAAGTTTAGCCTTGTCTGTCTCGTTCTTTCCGTTAAAATATATGGGTGTCACTATTCCCGCGAATTAACCACACCTCGGCTATTATCCGATCTTTTTTTCAATATTACCGTTTTATAATATTGTATCATCATAAATTATAAAACATAAAACTAAAATTCTTGATTTTTTCCAATTTTTCTCTTCACCCAAATGCAACACACATAACATAAAAAAAATCAATAGTTGGATTTTGATATTGGAATTACCAATTGCAAAGTTTGTCTCGAACAATGAGATCGTAAATAAAAAGTGGGTCGGGTATAAATGGGTCACCGTTTTGCCTTGGACGAGGATAAACCTTAATTATCTTAAACCCATTGAACCCGTGCGAATCATTACTTCATATACATAAATTATCAAATAGTTTTTTTTCGCTACAGCATGGCACTTTAACATTTGAGGATTCATTAGCGTAAAATTTCCGAAAGAAAAAAAAAACGAGCATGTAAAAATTTTTTTTGAGAAATTTAACACAACTCACTCCCACGTCTTCCTGCAGGTAAACATTCGTCTGCACTCTAAACTAAGTATGAACTTTCGGGGAATGGAAGAAATGAAAGACGAATATAATATATTCTATTCTTAAATATTTTAAAAGGAAAGTCTGCTGTCAACACTCAAACTCGTTCCACATGGCTCTTATTTTTAATAGAAGAACGTTTTTATCGATATAAGTGGATTGGTAACATTTATAATTCAATCTTAAATGACATTTTTTTAAAAAGTAAGAAATGATGCAACTCGACAAAAATCATAAATCAGCAAGGAAATGTTTACGAAAAATAAAAGAGAGCAGCATTCAGCAGTTCTTAAGTACTCTCTAATTATAGATTTATTATCATAGAGGCACCGACATCACCAAAATATATTTTTGAATAGCTCACCTTCACTTCCAATTTATCATTGTTATGCTTTAATTCGATCCTTTCCTTTTCTAATTTTTCTACTTTCGCTTTTAAATTCTCTAGTTCTTCCTGGAAAAATAAATAGATAGAATTTTTTGAGGAATTTTCAAAACATCCTTTAATATTCCATTTGATTCGTATGATATGATAGTGATATATGTATTTTAATTACAACCTGGACCGGTGTCAAAAAATCGAGTCGAAAGGAAACGTTGCAGGCAGCAAATCCGAGACATGTTGCGGACAGTGTGGACTAGACAAATTTCCAGCAATGTCAGCAGGAACTTTTGCTTACGGATTTTTTACTGCTTCTAAAATTGGAAAGTTGTTTCGGAACTGGAACTTTTTTTTAAATATATACGTATATTTATATAATGTGCTGACCGCACCGTATCCTTTCTGAGTCGTAGTACCATGAGGATCCAATAGAAGAGAAGAAACCGAGCGGGGACATAGCCAAGATAATTAAACTTATGGTCGCGAGTGTTTCTTAGTGTGGCACGTAAAAAGTGACAATAAACAGAAACGGAAACAAAGACAAGAGCTTTTGAGATCAGAGTGATGAATTAAATCGTATACAAAAGCGTTTTAAAACAAAGAACTACAAACTTGACGTTTATAAATGCCAAATAATCAATATTTAAATGAGATAAATCGCTGGAAACATTTTAACCTACAATTATAAAAGTTAAAATGTCGATTTAATTGAAATTTTCTATCTTATATAACGTTAACTAAATAATAACGTTAACAATGTATCGTGTTAAGAGCGGAACTACAGAAAGCTTTCCAGAAATATTTCGTAATGGGTCTAGTTGAAAGCTATGAATAAAAATAAAAATGCCAACGACTAATCGAAACTTTGTATATAAATATTTTGTATTTATTTAGTCGCTGGAATGAAGACGACAAACGAAACATGGCAAAATTGTTAACACTTTAAGAAGTTGGACCGCTTCATCCAAATGCAGGGTATATTCTAGGCAGGGCGCGGCTCACTCCCTATATCTTCCCCGCATTTAAACGATGCCGAAAAAGATTTCTAAAAAGGGATTTTTTTTTTATCTTCTCGTCGAAGGACGAGAAGATAAAAAAGACAAGAATTGGCCTTCTAAAATCACTTTCATGAAAGGGACACGGCACCGGGCAGTTATTAATAACGTTTGAGAGATTATCCGTATTTTTGAGCTATATTATTCACTAAAATCTCAATGTTTACATCCTTCAATGGTTTAATAGTTTATATTAATTATTTTGAATTTTTATACGAGCGAAATAAAATTAAGTTATATAACACACAGCAATATTTAATATAGTGATGTAAATTAAAACCGAAAAAATATTCTGAAAAAATTATTTTAGAAAAAGAAGCAGCCCAAATTATTCCCGAGGCAAGTTAAAGTATAAAATTTAAGCATAAACATCGTATTCATTAAACGTGTCAAAAAAAAACCAGCAATCATTTATGTCATTGAACGATGAAACTTGAACATCCCGAGTTTATCTTCGGCTTGTAGGCAGTTGTCTCGAAATGTCTGACATTCGTAAACATAAGGAAAAACGGAATAAATCAAAATTCTAAAAAAATTTCCAATTTTAGACAGAATATCGAACTTAGATCGTGTCAAAGGAAGTGCGTTGACGTTTCGAAAGTTTTCTTGGCACTTCTTTATAAACATTGTTTATTTTGGATATCATGCAGGATCTATTTGATGGATTGTTTTATAAATCAGAGGTGGCCTTTGGAAGAATTTAAATTTCTACAAGTTCCGCATAGCTCTATTGTAAATAAACTAACTCTCCCGACCTGTATGTAAATGGACCCGTGTAGAAAAGAGAGTTCACCAATATATTCACCATAAAAAACTTAAAAAAAAAATTTAAATGAAATATCTAAAAACATGCGTGTAATATTTAAATATAAAGTTTTAAAACATGAATTCAAATTATAGACAAATAAAAACCATAAAATACTGTCCAGAACATTAACACCAGAACACTATTTTTCTTTTTTTTTTTCTTTTTTTTACTTGTTAAATCCAAATTACTAACAAAAATCGTTTTTAAAATTGTGTAATTTTAATAATAATAATAACAACTTTAAAAATCTACGTAAAAACATTAATTTAACTTTTTAAATTGCGAAACGATAGAAATTCTACTGATGAGTTACTTGCCCTTGAAGTGGAATTAAATCCAGATAAGGAATTGTTTGCGTTAACGTGTACGATTAGTTGGTGAAGTCTCTCCAAAAGAAAAGCATAGAAGGAGAAGAAACGCATAACGATCTTGATATAGTTGCTAATTAATATGGACCCGATAACTTACCAACCTGTCGAATAGCCGAACATTTTACTATATGGCATCGAGCAGGTAGAAGACAATGTAATTGGATTAGTTACAAAATATCGTACATTGGCAAAGATACAATAGTAGTCTATTGTACATTACTAAAAATATTGGCCAAAGAAGATGAATAGAGACTTAAACGGAATACTTATGGTCTGGCGTAATTACGCAATGATATCGATTGCAAAGTCATTATTCACGTCAGAAAACTGTCACAATGTGATTGATCATCAGCGAATGCTGGTCCGAATGCAATGTATCAATTTAAAATCGATCACAAATTGCATTTAAATCTAATTAAATGGCCACCTGCACTCTATTTATAAATCTAATCAACTTATATAATAAATAACTGGGCCATTTTTATACTAAATATATTTATAAAATTCTATATTCTATAATTTGTGTTTACATATATTTTATTACATTGATATACTGTATGTACAGTACAGTACTGTACATTACATCATAAGTAATACACTAAAATAGTCTAGTGAAAATACTAAAAATTAAAAATCATTACTAGGTAACTATAATAAACATGTATTTTATATTATACTGTATTTATAAAATTTAATAGGACGATTTCATTTTAAAAGCTTTTCAGATAATTCAAAACCATAATAAATTAAACTAAGCATTAGAAATTACAATTATTGTTTAAATATGAGAAAGATAGTTTGACCAAATGACTTAGTTGGCATTGCTAGCTATATATTTCCTTTTTTAATCCATAGCGAAATTTTTCTGGAATGTTAATCTCATTATCCCAGAGCTTTAACATCATTTTACAATAACTATATGCTGTTTTAATTTAAAATTTTATGAAGTTTCTATGTTTAATTTTTATGATTCAATAAATGCTATATGCTTTTCTCCTCCTTACTTGTAAAAAGGGATGTTGTTTCATTACTACTTTGTTAAATGNTCATACTTTTCCTTCAACAATAGAGTCATGCCAGTCATCTGTCTAACACCTTTCAGGGAAAATTTTTGAATTTAAATAACATGACTTCTGGTTTGCATTGGAAGTTTGTATGTAGTTAATTGGGACCTCCTGTCCCCAAGGTTTCCATATCTGGTCTTGTCTTTCATCTATCTAGTTCCATTCTCTAGATTAAGGAAAGACAGACGAAAGGATGACAGTGGAAATTTATTGGGCTACAATTTTTTCAAATTGCAGCCCAATAAATAATAATGATTGCACTTAACAGTCTACTGCAAAGAGGAGTGTATACAATATAAAGCTAAATGCAATTTTATCACAAATACATGCCTAATAGCATTTGTGGAGATTTACTTGGTTGCAAGAATACAGCATAAAAATTTCCAAAATTTTTGGAGAAAACAATGGGAAATCCTAGAAAATTTTCAAACTATGGCTATTCAAATCTGTATATATCAAACTGTCAAAAAGCAAGAGTCTGCTATACTTTTGTTCTTATTTACCATTTAAACTGCCTTCAAATCAAAAATATAAATCATTCAACACATTTAAATTTAAACAGTCAATCCTGGAATCACATTGTAGCATTTAATTTACCATACAAATTTTTTTTTCTATAAGAACTAATATTAGTCCATATCAATGTTTGCCTTGTCAAATATCTTTATTTCACAAATTGCCATCTAATAACCATAGACACATTTTGGGATCATTTATTCCCTTTTCAGTATGTTTAGTAAAATACATGATTTTTTTTATTAGTACATTTTTATAATTTATGTAAAGAAAACAATTCTCTATGTGGTTTTTTATTGATCTGATTAGATTTAGATTTTACAAGACATCTTTGCAATAAAACAATCATACCTTTGTTCTACCAATAATTTAAGCTTTTAAATTTTCAAATGACTAATTTTAATTAGATATTTGAATCCAGAGCTTTCCAAAAAATATAATAGTATGATTTTCAAAAATTTGATCAAGATCAAAGTTATGTCCACATCAAATTTGACAATTTCAGTTCTTCTCTATTATAAACAATAAAAATAATATTTGCACATCATTTCTATCAATGTATTCAAATATTATATTGAAATATTTCATTTTGTATGGAGCAAAACATAAAAATTAATTCAAAATTTTAAAATTTTAATGCAACATCTAGAATTACAAAGATATTTTTTAAAGTAATGTTCTTGTCTTCTCTCTGATTTTTGACAACGCAAATTAAAGCTTAAATTTTCTAAATATAAACTAAATCGCACTTGAACCTTGGGCTATATTAAATTCATTTTTTAATTAAATTAAAATAAACTGCCTAAAATTGCTGTCATCTTCTATAAATATTAATATTGTAATTAGAAATATATTAAATCCAGATAACTCACTGTTATATATACTACTTGCAGATATAGCAAGTTCAAACCCTGTTAGAATCTTAATCTTAAATTAATCAGTTAAATGAAAATTAATTTTTGATTATTAATATTTATACAAGATGACACGCTGTGCATCTGTAGACTAATTTATTTGTAAAGAATACACCATTATTTAGTTTTGATTCTTTGATAAATCCATGAGTTTTATTTTTATTAACAAAAACTTACAATAAATCAGTTATACATACTCTAGTTTATAAAAAAATACTTACATTGAGTTATTTTAATCCATAAAATTATTCTATAAAAATTAATATACAGCTCTATACATGTTCTTACAGAATAGCTACATCTTTCACAATAAATATTGCAAAATATAATTTTGTAATCAATAAAATGTGTAAAATATTTGCTAAAATTATATCACATTTCATTAATCGAGAAAATGAAAACATTTGGAAGATAAAACTAAAATTCTAAGTTAAAACACTAATTAAATATAATTTATAGCTAATATAAGCTAATACCCAACTCAAATTTATATAAATCGGAGAGAATTTCAAATATTTTATTAATATATTATTGTAATGAAATTTCGAGTAACAAGATAAATTACATAATTAATTAATGGGATTCATTTCGATTAAATAGCGAGATAACGGTGCGCCGCGCCGCGTCGCGCCCGCTTAGCGTGCCGCGCGCCGAATAAATATGGCGCTAGGCTAAAGCGCATTTAGTGTCATAAACGAGGGAATGCGACGGTTATACAAAGTAGGTGAAAAAGAGAGAAAGCGAGACTTTCGTTGGGGCGACAATAATTATAACGGGCGATTTTTATATAAGCGATCGCGCGACGAGATGTCGGTTTCTGTGCCAAACCTCTCGTCAAGTATCATACTTAAGTTAACGATGGCTCTTCCCTATGCCAATTGGCCAAGAGGGAATTAAAGTGACAGATGGATAAAACAATAAAAAAGCGAATAGAGTACAACAGCAGCAAAAATTGTCGTACGAAGAAAATTTTTCTCTTTTAACAAATGATCTTCGGGAATATTTTCTTATTCGTTTAAACAAATTACCCCGGAAGAGTTTTTAACTTGACGGTAATTATCTGGCAGATACCGCCATCCCAGAAGATATCCGATTTCTCCGACTAGTTTGTTTATGCAATAAAAAAACCAAAAAGAAAAATAAGAAAATACTGGTTTTAAAGCCAACCGGGTGAGTAGCGCGATTGTGTATAATTAATCAAGCTGTCTCTATTTATAGTTCGCGAACGCTTTACCTATTAGCTTAGTTTTCGATTAATCATCTAAAAAAATGCAACAAAGAAACCCGTCTTAAAATAACGGAGTATGGCGGCCAAATATATATATATATATATACGTATAAGTAGTTTTTCTCGATAATTGCCGTATAAATTATTAAGCGATGCATAACGTAACACTTCGTGTTAATGTTCTTCATGGATATGTTCCATTTATAAAGAATATAATGCAATAATCCACGGATCCGTATTATACTTCACGATGGGCCAACGTAATTATTAATTCACATTTTAAAAAAATTGGCATTCCGTTACGAATGTCTGCAATATTTTCCCGGATAGATGAAATTCTCTGCCAGTTAAAAATAAATTATAAAAACATGCGCAAGACGGAAACTTAAACGACATTGTCCCGTTGCAAAGGGAAAAACTAATCGTCTCAAATTCGATCTTACGCATGTAAAAGCCATTAAAAAGAAAAAAAATCCAACTCACCTGAAGTTCCTGAACTTCCTTTTCTAGCTTCATCCTTTCGGATATTTCCGATTCTAGCATCTCGGAAACATGAGTGGACGTGGCCTGTTCTTCATTCAGATCCGACCAAAGTTCCGACACCTGAGAAGATGATGATAATTTACGATCCGCTATTCTACCACTATTATATCTGTAAACACTTTCCTTGCTGGGGGGTGGGGAAGTCAGTCGAGAGGGAGAAGTCAGGCGAGCGGGTGAAGTCAGGCGGGTGGGAGAAGTCAAGCGAGTGGGAGAGGTAAGACGAGTAGGGGAAGTAATACGGGGTGGCATCTTCGATGAAGGAGTCTTCAGGATTTCAAGAGAACGTTCTACAGAGCTGTATCGATTCCTGCTTAAAGATCGGGTATCGTTGAAGATACGCTGAGTCAGAGAAGGCTTTTCGTTGGACTTTGACAGGAAACGAAAACTGTTAGATCTTTCTTTCATATCTTGATACTTTTTTGACAGATACGATGATACATTGGATGTACTGGTACTCTTTTTTATTTCCGCTTTGGCTTCGGTTTTCTTGACGATATCGCTCGACACGCTGCCTCTGTTGTTATAATTGGTCACCGTTTTTTTCCTGATGGGAATGGGTGGAGTGGGGTTGGCATCCGATTTCTTGAATACTTTCTGCAGTTCTCTAATATCGATGGTCTGGACATTTTCCTTCTGAGAAGTGGCCGAAGCTTTACCGGTTGCCATTTCCGACTTAGTGACGTCGGATACTTTCTCTTTGCTTGCTGCAGATTTTTTATCGCCACCAGAAATAGCATTTAACTGATCGTTTGATTTACGATAAGCCGAATTAGCGTTGTTGTTGTTCCCGATGTTGGTTTTCTCACCATTGGTCCGATTCGGATCTTTGCCATTGGATACACCTCCGGATACCTGTCCCATCTTCGCCGTTTTTTCGGTTTCTTTTTTGATGGGTGCGATAACAGATATCGGCTTGACTAGTCCATTTTTTGGTGGTACCTGGCCGACCTTTACTACATTGCTATTATTAGTGGTATTGGTTTCCGTTTTCTGGACGGGAGTTGCCATTTTTTCAAGCTTTTTTTCCAACTAACAAAACTACAACTACTATTAAAAGCAGAACTAAAATCCAGTTTGGCCCTTGTATATATATATTCACATATTGGTCCTCATCGCATCGCAACGGATAAATTCTCCCCGAAACGAGTCTTCTGATTGACCTTGTCCACCATTTCACTCTACTTCCCTCTCATCGTCTTGGGAAAATGCGGTTTGACTGAAGCTAACACGTGCTTCACCTTCTTATTACACTAGTTTGTTCCTATTGGCACGAGCCTTCTCGAGTCTATTTTTGGATTTTCGTGTAACGGACTTTCTCTCTTATTTTGGGAGAGTCTAGTGTCGTGTTCTTCAGACCGATAACGCTTCCACCTCTCGACTGCATTTCTAGACTCCCGGTATCCAAAAAAATATATACGGTTTCGAGGCCATGCGGGGTCAAAGTTCAGGCTAAACCTTTGGCATCCCTCCAAAAAGTCGATACTCTGCCGGGATAATAAAGTTTGGCCGACGAGACGAGTTCCTGGTGAAAATGCACAGCTTAGCACATTCATTCCATGCCTAAGTTTAGCCTTGTCTGTCTCGTTCTTTCCGTTAAAATATATGGGTGTCACTATTCCCGCGAATTAACCACACCTCGGCTATTATCCGATCTTTTTTTCAATATTACCGTTTTATAATATTGTATCATCATAAATTATAAAACATAAAACTAAAATTCTTGATTTTTTCCAATTTTTCTCTTCACCCAAATGCAACACACATAACATAAAAAAAATCAATAGTTGGATTTTGATATTGGAATTACCAATTGCAAAGTTTGTCTCGAACAATGAGATCGTAAATAAAAAGTGGGTCGGGTATAAATGGGTCACCGTTTTGCCTTGGACGAGGATAAACCTTAATTATCTTAAACCCATTGAACCCGTGCGAATCATTACTTCATATACATAAATTATCAAATAGTTTTTTTTCGCTACAGCATGGCACTTTAACATTTGAGGATTCATTAGCGTAAAATTTCCGAAAGAAAAAAAAAACGAGCATGTAAAAATTTTTTTTGAGAAATTTAACACAACTCACTCCCACGTCTTCCTGCAGGTAAACATTCGTCTGCACTCTAAACTAAGTATGAACTTTCGGGGAATGGAAGAAATGAAAGACGAATATAATATATTCTATTCTTAAATATTTTAAAAGGAAAGTCTGCTGTCAACACTCAAACTCGTTCCACATGGCTCTTATTTTTAATAGAAGAACGTTTTTATCGATATAAGTGGATTGGTAACATTTATAATTCAATCTTAAATGACATTTTTTTAAAAAGTAAGAAATGATGCAACTCGACAAAAATCATAAATCAGCAAGGAAATGTTTACGAAAAATAAAAGAGAGCAGCATTCAGCAGTTCTTAAGTACTCTCTAATTATAGATTTATTATCATAGAGGCACCGACATCACCAAAATATATTTTTGAATAGCTCACCTTCACTTCCAATTTATCATTGTTATGCTTTAATTCGATCCTTTCCTTTTCTAATTTTTCTACTTTCGCTTTTAAATTCTCTAGTTCTTCCTGGAAAAATAAATAGATAGAATTTTTTGAGGAATTTTCAAAACATCCTTTAATATTCCATTTGATTCGTATGATATGATAGTGATATATGTATTTTAATTACAACCTGGACCGGTGTCAAAAAATCGAGTCGAAAGGAAACGTTGCAGGCAGCAAATCCGAGACATGTTGCGGACAGTGTGGACTAGACAAATTTCCAGCAATGTCAGCAGGAACTTTTGCTTACGGATTTTTTACTGCTTCTAAAATTGGAAAGTTGTTTCGGAACTGGAACTTTTTTTTAAATATATACGTATATTTATATAATGTGCTGACCGCACCGTATCCTTTCTGAGTCGTAGTACCATGAGGATCCAATAGAAGAGAAGAAACCGAGCGGGGACATAGCCAAGATAATTAAACTTATGGTCGCGAGTGTTTCTTAGTGTGGCACGTAAAAAGTGACAATAAACAGAAACGGAAACAAAGACAAGAGCTTTTGAGATCAGAGTGATGAATTAAATCGTATACAAAAGCGTTTTAAAACAAAGAACTACAAACTTGACGTTTATAAATGCCAAATAATCAATATTTAAATGAGATAAATCGCTGGAAACATTTTAACCTACAATTATAAAAGTTAAAATGTCGATTTAATTGAAATTTTCTATCTTATATAACGTTAACTAAATAATAACGTTAACAATGTATCGTGTTAAGAGCGGAACTACAGAAAGCTTTCCAGAAATATTTCGTAATGGGTCTAGTTGAAAGCTATGAATAAAAATAAAAATGCCAACGACTAATCGAAACTTTGTATATAAATATTTTGTATTTATTTAGTCGCTGGAATGAAGACGACAAACGAAACATGGCAAAATTGTTAACACTTTAAGAAGTTGGACCGCTTCATCCAAATGCAGGGTATATTCTAGGCAGGGCGCGGCTCACTCCCTATATCTTCCCCGCATTTAAACGATGCCGAAAAAGATTTCTAAAAAGGGATTTTTTTTTTATCTTCTCGTCGAAGGACGAGAAGATAAAAAAGACAAGAATTGGCCTTCTAAAATCACTTTCATGAAAGGGACACGGCACCGGGCAGTTATTAATAACGTTTGAGAGATTATCCGTATTTTTGAGCTATATTATTCACTAAAATCTCAATGTTTACATCCTTCAATGGTTTAATAGTTTATATTAATTATTTTGAATTTTTATACGAGCGAAATAAAATTAAGTTATATAACACACAGCAATATTTAATATAGTGATGTAAATTAAAACCGAAAAAATATTCTGAAAAAATTATTTTAGAAAAAGAAGCAGCCCAAATTATTCCCGAGGCAAGTTAAAGTATAAAATTTAAGCATAAACATCGTATTCATTAAACGTGTCAAAAAAAAACCAGCAATCATTTATGTCATTGAACGATGAAACTTGAACATCCCGAGTTTATCTTCGGCTTGTAGGCAGTTGTCTCGAAATGTCTGACATTCGTAAACATAAGGAAAAACGGAATAAATCAAAATTCTAAAAAAATTTCCAATTTTAGACAGAATATCGAACTTAGATCGTGTCAAAGGAAGTGCGTTGACGTTTCGAAAGTTTTCTTGGCACTTCTTTATAAACATTGTTTATTTTGGATATCATGCAGGATCTATTTGATGGATTGTTTTATAAATCAGAGGTGGCCTTTGGAAGAATTTAAATTTCTACAAGTTCCGCATAGCTCTATTGTAAATAAACTAACTCTCCCGACCTGTATGTAAATGGACCCGTGTAGAAAAGAGAGTTCACCAATATATTCACCATAAAAAACTTAAAAAAAAATTTTAAATGAAATATCTAAAAACATGCGTGTAATATTTAAATATAAAGTTTTAAAACATGAATTCAAATTATAGACAAATAAAAACCATAAAATACTGTCCAGAACATTAACACCAGAACACTATTTTTCTTTTTTTTTTCTTTTTTTTACTTGTTAAATCCAAATTACTAACAAAAATCGTTTTTAAAATTGTGTAATTTTAATAATAATAATAACAACTTTAAAAATCTACGTAAAAACATTAATTTAACTTTTTAAATTGCGAAACGATAGAAATTCTACTGATGAGTTACTTGCCCTTGAAGTGGAATTAAATCCAGATAAGGAATTGTTTGCGTTAACGTGTACGATTAGTTGGTGAAGTCTCTCCAAAAGAAAAGCATAGAAGGAGAAGAAACGCATAACGATCTTGATATAGTTGCTAATTAATATGGACCCGATAACTTACCAACCTGTCGAATAGCCGAACATTTTACTATATGGCATCGAGCAGGTAGAAGACAATGTAATTGGATTAGTTACAAAATATCGTACATTGGCAAAGATACAATAGTAGTCTATTGTACATTACTAAAAATATTGGCCAAAGAAGATGAATAGAGACTTAAACGGAATACTTATGGTCTGGCGTAATTACGCAATGATATCGATTGCAAAGTCATTATTCACGTCAGAAAACTGTCACAATGTGATTGATCATCAGCGAATGCTGGTCCGAATGCAATGTATCAATTTAAAATCGATCACAAATTGCATTTAAATCTAATTAAATGGCCACCTGCACTCTATTTATAAATCTAATCAACTTATATAATAAATAACTGGGCCATTTTTATACTAAATATATTTATAAAATTCTATATTCTATAATTTGTGTTTACATATATTTTATTACATTGATATACTGTATGTACAGTACAGTACTGTACATTACATCATAAGTAATACACTAAAATAGTCTAGTGAAAATACTAAAAATTAAAAATCATTACTAGGTAACTATAATAAACATGTATTTTATATTATACTGTATTTATAAAATTTAATAGGACGATTTCATTTTAAAAGCTTTTCAGATAATTCAAAACCATAATAAATTAAACTAAGCATTAGAAATTACAATTATTGTTTAAATATGAGAAAGATAGTTTGACCAAATGACTTAGTTGGCATTGCTAGCTATATATTTCCTTTTTTAATCCATAGTGAAATTTTTCTGGAATGTTAATCTCATTATCCCAGAGCTTTAACATCATTTTACAATAACTATATGCTGTTTTAATTTAAAATTTTATGAAGTTTCTATGTTTAATTTTTATGATTCAATAAATGCTATATGCTTTTCTCCTCCTTACTTGTAAAAAGGGATGTTGTTTCATTACTACTTTGTTAAATGTTTTTGATAATTCAGAATTTTTTTCTATTTTATCTCTTTTGGAATTTGAATTAACGAAAGTTTAGTGTACTTTTAATTATAAAAAATAGCAATAAATTATTATTCAAAATGTAACAGAAATTAGGCATCTATAAGTTTTTATAATAATATATTTTAAAAAATGTGTATTTAAGAATTTAGATAAACAAACTAGATTCATTTATTATCACCAACATTTTAAGTTTAAATTAAATTTTCTATCAAATATTTTGATAATTGTAAATAAAGTGTAACATATTATTAAAATCTTAAATTTTAATTCCAATAAATTTAGTATAATGATAATTAAAAATGGATTATAATAAAACTTGAAATTTCTATCTCATAAAATTTATATAATCAGTATTATATTACAAAAATTATATTATTCAATTATTCCAAGCACTTGGTTCACATTTCAGAAATAAGTCAAAAATTTCATAATTAAATCTAAAATAAAATATCCAACGAAATTTTATAACTACAGTTTCTGTTAACATGAAAGACAAGACTGTTATGACTGTTTTACTTTCAAAGTCAATGTACTCAGAATTTTAACTGTAAAAGATCAACAGTGTAGCAAGAGAATTTGTGTGTTTTTACATTTTTCAATGACGTTAACTGTTCAAGAATTTCAGATAGATGTTATCTATCTATGCAGAATTTCTCAACAATGATGTAATTAACATTGCAATAGTAACCAGGCCTTTGCAGAATTTTTAAAAGGATGGTTTTATTAATAAAATAAAACAATCCTTTATTTTTTGAAAATATTGCTTATTAATTTTTACAATATAACACAATATAGTAGATTAAGGAGGAACTGAATGGGTACAATATAAGCAAGCTACATTTGTATTTGATTTTTGTAGTATTTAAATTTAATTTTTTTAATTCTTTCAAAATGAGAGGTTAAAACCACAAATCTCTCATAGGCACGACTTTTGATAGTAAAAATTCAGAGAACTTTCAATGAACAACTAGTACATGGAATTACAACATATTTATTATTTTGATCTTGGCAAATCAAAATCTCTTACTTTAGACCTCAATAATTTATTTATCAAAAAGATTGTGAATTATTCAAATTTACTGATTAAAGTTTTGACTGAAGTTTTATATTAAAATCTAATTCATTATTATTATAATTCATCAAATTTATCATTTCAGAAAAATGCTCATAGTGAAATTCTTACATACGAAATCTAGCAATGGGTTTATTCTAATGAAAAATAATTAGTCGATTATCAAAATCATTCAAAATATCTTGAATAACTTTTGAATGAGTCACTCATCCTTTTTTTTTATATATATATATATTTTAATTTAAAATAAAGAATAAATAACCCAAAAAGTAAAATCTCTTAATTTATAATCAACATTTTACACCAAAAAACTATAGTCAGTCAAAAGAGGATGATTTTTGGCCCCATTTTTCTGTAAACAATCAGATAAGTTTCTTATTACACTTGTAAAAACTAATTACTAATTAAACAAGTTATGTAATTCAATCCAATTCCCCATATTGATTTGTTTCCATAGTGGACAATTCATGTTAGTTTCAGTTTTTAAACATACTTATTTAAAGTAAAAAATTTCAACTACTTAATCATTTTATAAATTACAGTGATTTGCTTAAACGCAGTTAAAAGTAACTTGATGAATTAAGTACAATGACATTCTATTAACCTGGTATCATCAGAACTACATGATGCTGGGTTATTGAATACGCCACCTTATTGAACAATGAAAGTTTCTCCAGTTTTCTCATCTCCTGGACACAATTTTACCTATTGTCACATGTAAAATAGCACAAATACATTTTTTATGATTATTTAACATGCCATTTCAATTTTTTCAGGCTATTCCTACTCTTGGTTAGCTTGAAACAAGAACACTATTCTTATTTTATGCTTTGTATCCTTTTGTTGCATATAAATATAGATATACTCTAATTGTCAAAGTACACAAACAGTAATGCACTATAGTTGTTTCCATAATTCCATCGATTCCAAGTGTGCTAAATATTTCTGCTTATCATACCAAACCTGTATAGTAATGTCTTTAGAAAAATCATGCATGAGCTAACTGGTTTTACTATCACAGAATCAAGTTGTTGTGGCATTTATCGTCTCTACAAGAATTCAGCCCCCTTTCCAAGAACTACATGTTTTGAACACTTACATGAAAATCTTAACTCCCAGTGCAACAATAACTTCCCAACTACAAGCTCAACATGCTGGCTTATATATTTTGCCAGCATACCAGATGCTGGGTTGACAGAATCTCACTGTATTACATTATTAATAATAAAATTTTTTAAGATAGTTTGAGAACTTATGCATCTTTATATTTTGTGAAAAATGTAGATCAATCACCTATTTTAGTATTGAACATGTAATAAATTACAAAAATTTAGTTTAAAAAGAACTTTACAGATTTGAATGGCCACTTAAATAAACTCATCACTAATCAAATCAAAAATTACTGTTTCTGAATCCAAAAATATCATTTACTATTCACTCAAAACAGGTACTTTTATATTTATTTGTAGGTACTTGCTTCAATGTATAAAGCACAAAGCTTTCAGCAAGCTGCATGCTTTTACTGTCTTTTTTGTCAATGAGCCAATAAATTTTTTTTAAATCAATTTTTCCATCATCAATTCCTTCATCAAACTGTGTTTAAATGTTATATATATTCTCAAATCATCTTTTTTGGCACCAATTTGATTTTGGAAACAAGAAATAGTTTGCAGGAAATAATAGAAAAGATTTAGTTATGCAATCTTGCATTTTATCAAATATAATTATCATTAAAGAATGAGGCTGCACATTGTAATATAACAGAAACTCTTCCAAAACAGAGATCTTGCTTAGTAAATTCCTCTAATCAAATGATCTAAAAATGTGTACATAATACTTCTTATTCATTATATGACCTGGTAAAACAAATTCTTTGTAAATTATTTGTGTACTATCAAATGATGTTATCAACATCACTTTTCTATATCACTACAAAACAATGACTACAATTTGTGACATTAACTTTCTAATATGATAAATATGGATAACAAACAATATGGGAGATTGTAGAAATGAGCACACAAACAGATTTTTATGAGCTTCCGCATGCTTATAAATAGAATTTAATTACTGAAACCCATGCATACTGATGAAAGCCTAAAGTTCAAAGCTGTATCTTTCTGAGATAAGTACCTATAATACAAAAATTCTACAGACAAACATAATGATTCAGCAGAAAATTGATATTCTTATGTGTTAGGATAACTTTTAAATTTAATTGTATTAATTAAATTTAAAAGTTATCCTAACACATAAGAATATCAATTTAATTGTATTAATTAAACTTTTAAATTTTAATTAATTGTTATTAGACACTTTTGATGATTACATTATAAATTACTAAGAAAGATACTAAATTTGGAAGCCAGATAATAATTTTTCTAATAATTTAATTATTATATCAAGCATGAATGTTTTTTCTGTTGATTATCTTACACTAAAGTCTTGATGTCATTTAAATTTTCCAAAATGATGATTGATTACTTACATAAGAAGAAAAAGAAGACACATTTGAATGATATGTTAATTAATCATCATCATCATAAGTCATTCTAAATTTCAAACTATGTTTGATCATATAATATTGATAATACAATCAACAACATATCTGCTCATAATATTTCTATTCTCTCGAGAGTGAAGCACATAACTTATTGAATATATATTATCTCCAAATTTTAAGTTGATATTTCTTGTTATACACAGTGTATAACAAGATAACTGAACACTGAAGCACATATACAGTAGAGCATCGTTTATCCGAATGTTGGTTATCTGAAACGTCAGTTATCCGAATGAATTCCAGTCAGCAAATTTAAATTTTCGTTAGTGCTGTGGCACTGCAATCTTTGGCTATATCTTGGTCTACTCCAATATTTTTTTTGTTGATTTGTGTGTTTTTGCTGGCAGCACTGGCACTTTTGTGTGGTGTTTTTCTGAGGACTGTGTGTCGTGCTGAATCGAACATTTTTGATACTAGATTAACTTCTAAAGTATCATTGTTTTTGTTTTTATATTTTTCAATATATTTATTTTGTTTGTAAAAAATAAAAAAAATTTTTAACGATACAATAGCCACGATTATCATTTTAAAAAGTTTACATTAAGCTTAACATTGATGAAAATTCAACNTCGGGGGTACACGGTAGTAGTCCAAATTCAATACGAACGTTTGTTTCTTGAAAATTTGATCACGATTTAAATACAGTATTTACTTTTAATATTACCGATATGTTATCGAAAAGAAAACGCGTTGTATTATCATGAAAAGACAAAGTATTTGTTTCGATTATCCGGATTTTTCCTCATCCGGACTACCTTCATTCCCAATTAGTCCGGATAATCGAGGTTCTACTGTATGTGATTCCCAAGCCATAGTCTTATGCAAATCATGCTGTGTGGCATGATTGTCTGCTGACCAATCAGTGGCTGTACTTTCAAAAAGTCAACGGCCACTTTCAACCATCTGTCAATGACTGTTATGACTAAAAAAATTTTGCTAGGTCTTACTTTCGGAGGAAGGTCTTTCCCCCACAATTTCACAATTCAGCAAAACCTCTGCTAGGCCTTATTTTCAGAGGATGTCTTATTTTCGGGGAAACACGGTACTTTNCCACTTTCAACCATCTGTCAATGACTGTTATGACTAAAAAAATTTTGCTAGGTCTTACTTTCGGAGGAAGGTCTTTCCCCCACAATTTCACAATTCAGCAAAACCTCTGCTAGGCCTTATTTTCAGAGGATGTCTTATTTTCGGGGAAACACGGTACTTTATAATTAAGATATTTCTTTCTGCAACAAATTGAAAGCCTCAATTTTTGTACAAATCCAAGATACATAAATATTTAAAAATCCTAAATATTAAGTGTCTTAGATTCCTGTATACTATTATTTAGCTACAATGTATTGAAATATATAATTACCTTTTAATAAATTTAAATTCTTCCAAAGAGCCTTAAGACTACTAATGATCAAAATGGTATAAATATTCCAATTTATCACATAAGATGATCATGAAAAGTATTTAATTCCAAAATTTCTGTTATTCCTATTTATGCAAACCTAGTTATTTTGTTTTAATCAATGCCTGATTTGTCTTCAGTATGTTCACAGTTGACTCAAAGATAAACAAAAACTTTACTATTACTAAGTGAAGGGTAAAGAGAATTTTTAAGCTTTCTTCATACTTTGCAGTAAACAAGAAAAGTTGGCTTTATAAAACTGTTCACATTTGAGCAGTATCATAGCAATATCTACAGAATTAAGGAAAAATTTTTTTTCAAAAATATATTTAAAAATCATTACAAAATAGTAGTTAAATTCCATTTTATGAATATAAATTTTATTTGTGATATCCTTACTTTGTTAAATGTTTTTGATAATTCAGAATTTTTTTCTATTTTATCTCTTTTGGAATTTGAATTAACGAAAGTTTAGTGTACTTTTAATTATAAAAAATAGCAATAAATTATTATTCAAAATGTAACAGAAATTAGGCATCTATGACGAGAAGATAAAAAAGACAAGAATTGGCCTTCTAAAATCACTTTCATGAAAGGGACACGGCACCGGGCAGTTATTAATAACGTTTGAGAGATTATCCGTATTTTTGAGCTATATTATTCACTAAAATCTCAATGTTTACATCCTTCAATGGTTTAATAGTTTATATTAATTATTTTGAATTTTTATACGAGCGAAATAAAATTAAGTTATATAACACACAGCAATATTTAATATAGTGATGTAAATTAAAACCGAAAAAATATTCTGAAAAAATTATTTTAGAAAAAGAAGCAGCCCAAATTATTCCCGAGGCAAGTTAAAGTATAAAATTTAAGCATAAACATCGTATTCATTAAACGTGTCAAAAAAAAACCAGCAATCATTTATGTCATTGAACGATGAAACTTGAACATCCCGAGTTTATCTTCGGCTTGTAGGCAGTTGTCTCGAAATGTCTGACATTCGTAAACATAAGGAAAAACGGAATAAATCAAAATTCTAAAAAAATTTCCAATTTTAGACAGAATATCGAACTTAGATCGTGTCAAAGGAAGTGCGTTGACGTTTCGAAAGTTTTCTTGGCACTTCTTTATAAACATTGTTTATTTTGGATATCATGCAGGATCTATTTGATGGATTGTTTTATAAATCAGAGGTGGCCTTTGGAAGAATTTAAATTTCTACAAGTTCCGCATAGCTCTATTGTAAATAAACTAACTCTCCCGACCTGTATGTAAATGGACCCGTGTAGAAAAGAGAGTTCACCAATATATTCACCATAAAAAACTTAAAAAAAAATTTTAAATGAAATATCTAAAAACATGCGTGTAATATTTAAATATAAAGTTTTAAAACATGAATTCAAATTATAGACAAATAAAAACCATAAAATACTGTCCAGAACATTAACACCAGAACACTATTTTTCTTTTTTTTTTCTTTTTTTTACTTGTTAAATCCAAATTACTAACAAAAATCGTTTTTAAAATTGTGTAATTTTAATAATAATAATAACAACTTTAAAAATCTACGTAAAAACATTAATTTAACTTTTTAAATTGCGAAACGATAGAAATTCTACTGATGNATATATATAAATATATTATTTATACATTAAACATTCTATTATTATTTATTTAATTAAAACAATTTAAATATATTTTGAATTTTAAAACTTGATCTGAATTAAGATATGAATATAAGAATAAAAGCGATGGAGTGATATTTTGGTAGAAAAAAAGACAGTTTATAATAATTAATATAGTATATTTTTATTCTTAATATCCTCTTTAATATCTTAAATACTGAAAAAATTTATATCCATAATATTACATTCAATAATAGCTCATAAAAAACACATTTATTATTATTGTAATTAATGACTCAATATTTCTTTAACATATATCGTTATAATTTAAATACCTTTAACTTTTTATAATTATTTCTTGAAAGATAGCCGCGACATCTTGCTTGAAATTGCACTATAACATCATTTAATTTGTCATCCCTCTGGTTTTCAAGTATAGAGAGTGTACCTGAACGAAGGAATATCTGAAATAAAAAAATAAACAAAATAAAATTTATCATTGAATATAATTAAAACATATTCATTTCATTTACAATTTAAAAAATTCTTAAACATTGTTATATCATTATTTTTTATTATTTTATCAAGAAATAATACTTATGAATTTAAAATAATTGAAAATTAATCAGACTTTAATAATTTTACTAAAGTAACTTAAATATTATCAATTCAAAAGTTTCATTTCTTCATGCAATTCATCAAAGCAGGAAATATTAATTTTCCTTCTTTTTTTATATGTGCATTAACGTATATTTTAACATTTTTCAACAATGAATAACCTAACTTAAATAAGTAGTCAAATATAATGTACATGAAACAAAACTACATAAAAGATCATTTTGTTATACAGTGTAATTTTATATCCAACAACTTTTATTTAAAAAATTTATAATCCTTTCAAAGAAATAAACAAAATTCTAATAAAATAATCTGGGATATTTATTTCTTACATGAAAACATATTCAAATGTCATGTCTTCAATGAAAATGACCTGTATGTAACCTAAGAATGCAATTATTAAAAATGTTTTCAGAATGTTCAGTGGAAATAGCTTAAATTTCAGCTTAAATAATAGCCTTAAATTCTAGAACCGAGTTAATAACATTATCCCCAAAAATCTAGTAAGACATAATTGCAGGAGTTCAAATCTGACAAACTTTGGTGCAGTGTAAACTCTCATGAAAAAGAGCTAAATATAATTTGACAACACTTGCTCTTTGAACACATCTTAGAAGTGGAAAATGGCATTACTAGTATGAGATCCGATATCACTTGTTAAAACCATTGTAATCTTTGATCAATGCTTGTCCTACTAGAAGAGGGATAAATTCCTCTTTCAGAATATAGAGATAAACATCAGATGTCACAGTCCCATCATTTAATGCTGAAGTGAATATTCCTGCACTTAACAATGTGTATTAAACTGTAATTTTTTGAATTCAAGTGAGTATTTTAGTCTGTAAAGCATCATTCAATTCCCTTTGATAAACAAGAAAATGAAAACTTTTCAATGTATCATATGATAAAAAAATTACTTGGATACTTATAGAATAATTTGTTTTATAAAACACTTAATTTGTAATAAATATTTAAATAAATCACTGTAAAAAATAAATTATTACTAACAATTAAACTATAAAAGATTATAAGTATTGAATACTAAAGCATTCTTACTAGTTATCTATTTTATTGCATTTTAAATTTAAATATTAACAAATGCAATAAAATAAATTCTAAATAAATTATAAAATAAATTACAAATATATACTATACATAATTTACAAAAAGAACATGGTATTTACTTTACTTAAACCAAGACGATACAAAGATTTATCAATATCAATGTTTTCAAGTAGTTTTTCTGCAGTTTTCTTCTCATCTAAAACTGGATGAACACTATGGTGTTCAGGAGGTGATAATAATTCAAATCTTCGTCTGAATTCCGAATATGTGATGTGTTCGGGAAAACCTGTAATTAAGAATTTATCTATGTCTGAATTTCTTTTTTAAAAAAATTTATCATAATAATAAAACTTTATAATTTAACTTAACAGAAATTTTACAAATAACATTCGTACAAAATTTACTAAAATGTTTATAATTCAACAATGCATTACTCATTGAAAAAAAATTAATATAAAAAATATATCAATTATTTTCAAAATCATTATTCTTCTAAATATACTTATCCCTCATATAACACTGTAGGTACTGTACATTCCAAAAAAGTGCTGTCTTATGCAAATCCATGCTATACAAAACAAAGGACTAATTCAAAATATAGGGTTAGACTTCAAAAGTTAGCAAAAGTATTCTATTCTTTTTCAAAAATGTTTAAACAAACTACACTAAATATGAAAATTAAACTATAAAACCAAAACACGGTGACAGTCTTAAATGCTAATGTCTGAAAGCAACATCAATGATACCTAGTTGATAGGAAAACTAGGAGAAAGAAAAAAAAAATTGTACTATCAGATTTCATTAATTAAAGTAAACCTGATGAAAAGGCACAAAAATTGAAAATTTCAATATTCTAAAATCCATGGGCAAAATTTGAGATGACGTGTATGCTTACTTGAATAAAAAAAAATCAAATGATGAAGTTTCCACTTAAAAATTATGAAATTTTATACAGAGGATTTCCAAAACCNATTTCCTGTACGAAACGAATAAAGTCACTGAATTTTATGTAATCATTAACTTTTTTCTTTCTTCTAGAACTAGTATAGTTTTATGTAATTTTATGTAATCATTAACGTTTTTATTTCTTCTAGAATTAGTATAGTTTTTTAAACACTGTTTTTTTATTATCTTCAGTCGTATGAACAAGGTTTGTGTGATCTTCATTTTTGTTTAGTATCGTATTTTGTATATTCTCTTTTGTTTTTTTTATATTAAGTTTTTGACCACCTATTTGTTGTTTTTATTACATTATCCCTTTAAATGATGCAATTTTATTCCAAAGTAAGTCCATGATTTGAAGTACTAAAACTACCATTTCCATTGCCTCAGGATTTTTTTCACTGTTAAACCTATAACTTTCTCACTGTTAAGTTTTTACCTTAACATTTAAAGCAATTATTTAAAATTTGTATTTCCTGGAGATACATCACTTTGGAAATAAGCTTTTCATTTCCTTTGCTATAATTGTTTCTGTACTGTACGTAGTAGAGTCAGTCTTGAATGATCCGAAATGGAATTTCACCGGACCACAGAAGTTTAATGTGTTTTTATTTTTATTTTTCCGCTTTATGAACACTAAACAACATTTTAAAATATTCGTTATACGTTCGAATAGACTACTGTATAACAAACAGCCAAGCAATGCCGTAGAGGAATCTCGACCATAAGCTGATCGGAGAGGTCTGTCAATTGCTGCCCCTTCTTTGAGAAATACAGAATATCTACAGGATGATTCAAAAGTCACAGAAATTTAAAAAAAATTAATAACTCACAAACTATTTACAGTAAGATGATGCAGTTTTCACAGAAATGCTTAGAAAGAAATGGAAATTTTTTGTGTTATAAAAATTTTAGTACCAAAATAGTTACATTTCTTGCCATAGATGGCACTTGATAAGATTACATAATTTGTGAAGTTGTTACTAGAGCTTACACTAAGAAACATTTTTATTATTTTATTCTTACCTTAACAAATTTACAAATGATTTCAGTTTCTTACAGTGCCATCCATGTCAAGAAATGTAACTATTTGGTATTAAAATTTTTATTACACCAAAAGAAATCCCACTTCATTCTAAGGAGTTCAGTGAAAACTGCACCATCTTACAGTAAATAGTTTGTGCGTTATTAATTTTTTAAAATTTCTGTGACTTTTGAATCACCCTGTGTTTATATTTTATATTATATATTATCTGTTGCTCAAACTTCTAAAACTACAAAATCCAAATTTGATTATTACATATTTAAAATTGTTTTAATTTTATGGTATAATATTTAATACAAGTAACATTCTTTACCTTGTTTATGTACACGGATTGCATCTAATATCTGTGCTCCTCGTACCTGAGATCGAAGAAGTGGAATGTTAAGTGGAATATCTTCTGAAGAAATTGATTTACCAACTGATTGATTCAAATTTTTTAAATCACATAACCCTGCATTATGTTGTGGGAGTAAACAATGAACAAAATGTAACTGAACTTTATGTAACATATCACATANTTGCCATAGATGGCACTTGATAAGATTACATAATTTGTGAAGTTGTTACTAGAGCTTACACTAAGAAACATTTTTATTATTTTATTCTTACCTTAACAAATTTACAAATGATTTCAGTTTCTTACAGTGCCATCCATGTCAAGAAATGTAACTATTTGGTATTAAAATTTTTATTACACCAAAAGAAATCCCACTTCATTCTAAGGAGTTCAGTGAAAACTGCACCATCTTACAGTAAATAGTTTGTGCGTTATTAATTTTTTAAAATTTCTGTGACTTTTGAATCACCCTGTGTTTATATTTTATATTATATATTATCTGTTGCTCAAACTTCTAAAACTACAAAATCCAAATTTGATTATTACATATTTAAAATTGTTTTAATTTTATGGTATAATATTTAATACAAGTAACATTCTTTACCTTGTTTATGTACACGGATTGCATCTAATATCTGTGCTCCTCGTACCTGAGATCGAAGAAGTGGAATGTTAAGTGGAATATCTTCTGAAGAAATTGATTTACCAACTGATTGATTCAAATTTTTTAAATCACATAACCCTGCATTATGTTGTGGGAGTAAACAATGAACAAAATGTAACTGAACTTTATGTAATATATCACATAGTCCATCCTGGAAAAACAATTTCATTTATTTATTTTTTTGTCAATAATTAAAAATAAAAAGTTTTAAATTATATTTTTTAAAAAGATTTTAAGTAGTAGGAAAAAAGTTATAAATTAACATGGAATGTCTATCAAATAAATAGAAAAATCATTTATTAATTAAAACTGTTAATTACTATAATTTTTAACAATGTTATATTTACATAAATCTCAAAATAATTTTGCACTTTATATACTTCACTTAATAAATGATTTTTTTATAAAGATTTAACTAGCACAAAAATTAAATCTCATTTTTAATCACTATTAAATTATATTAGTGACATATTATATCATATATAAATAATATATTATATCATATTCATAATTATTTTTTCAAATAATGAATCTGCTTTATTTTTCATTCTATAATTGAACAAAATATAGGAATAAAAAAATATAATAAAGTATGACTGTTACTTAAGATATTATATGTAAGATTTACATAAGACTATCTTTGATAGAAATTCTATTTGTATTAAGGATAATCTTATATATATATAAATTCTTGAAAAGATTATATATATATAATCTTTTCAAGAATTTCATATACATATACTACTTTTTGAAATTTAAGAATTAAATTTCAAAAAGTAGTTTATGAAATCCTTGAAAAAATTTTGAAATAAAATAAAGTTTTATTGTATCTAACAGCAATTTAAATAATTAAAATTTTCAATTACCAACTAAAAAAAGAAAAAAAAAACTGTTAAATATATATACCATATTAACTCAAATAATATGCACCCTCAAGTAATCTGTGCACTCCATTTTTTAGGATACTTGTTTAAAAAAAAAAAGAAAAAGACTTGACCAATTTATTACATATTTAATAAACTTTATTAATTTATGATTGTAACACAATAGCAACCGTCAGTGGCGTAGTGTGGGTGTCAGCCACCCGGGGCAGAGGAAAATTTCGCCCCTCCTTATTTAGGTATCTCAATTTAAAAGACTAAAATTCAGTTTTGTCACAGAATAAGTAATGAAAAATTCCATGCTAGTCTTGCCACCTTATTAAAATCGCTGATCCAAACGGCAGGTGAGGTTTGTTCGAATAGAAGTTCCTGATGCATGCGTATGTAACTTTGCAATGTGAAGAATAATGTGTAGTGCATGCTGGTTCTAAATCAGTTACAGTTAGCGACTAGGGAGACTTGGATAGGAATAACGCAAGTGACCTAGCTGTATTGGATATTGGAGGTGTATATATATATATATATATACATATACACCTCCAATATCCAATATATATATATATATATATTATACAAATAAATTGTACAAGAAGGAAAAAAAAAAGGTCAACAAGTTGCGCATGATATCCCTGGACGGTGAGTTGATTCCCGGACTATCCTAATGGATGGTAACACTATTCTGTGCTCATTTCAATCGGTCCGAGTCATAGGTGGACGAAAATATGAAATATAATGGTTCAAATTCTAACAAGATATTATTATTATTTATTGTAAAATTTTGCCGCCCCCACTATGCTACGCTACTGGCAACCATCACTCTCACAGTTTTGTAGCATTCAATACAACAGCACTCAGTTTCAAGTCCACATGGTATTAAAAGATAAAAGTACAGAGAAAAAAATTTAATTATTCGCATATCTGATAAATGTAAATTATCTGCAATTTGTAGTAATGTATTTTATATTAAATTAGCTTAATAATTAAATGAAAATAAGATTTCTTTATATTGTTTAATTTGAATCAAACATGAAAAACTGCTAATAGCTTAAATTAAGATAATATAGATATAAATATTATTTATGGTCAGTCTCAGTTGCATATTTAACTTACTTTATTTATCTTTATCTTCATGAAATTAATAATATGAAAACATTTAATAATATTGCTTGTAACTACTAACTATAGATGATCACTACATTAAACAAAATCTTCCAGTTAATAAGTATAATTTATTACTAGCAAAGTAAGTAAAACAATAACTGGAAATACCATGGACTTTGCAGACTGCATCAGCATATTTGTTTCTGTGTACTCAGACTTTTTTGTCATAATTTTTTTTGGAAAAAAGTTTGTAGATTATTCAGGTATTCAAATAAATTTAGTATATATGTTACTGTGAAAGACCGAAATTAGAGAATGTCGATATTCTCCAGTGAATGTGAACACATACAAAATACATCAGAGAAAGACTGAATATTTGGTTATATTGTTAAATATTCAAACAATCACTGATGTATGTCAACAAGCACAGATAAACTTTGGTGGAGGTCAAAATGATCCTGGAGCCAATGTCGACAGAGAGGCAACAGTCTTTTGCCAAATTCTTTGCTGTTTCCTTCTGCTCAAATTGGTGATACCGTATAAATACAAGTCCATGATGTTGACCAAGGCCATACAGATGCCCAAAATGTGTTCGCAGTTGTTGTTGAAGAGTTATAGTAGACTATGACTTTTATAAATTAGCAAACAAAAATGGTACCCTCAAGCAGCTTTATACCCGTAATCAGTTCGTAATTTGTAAAGAAAATTTACTTTCCATAGATGAGATTTCTTCTCAAGAAATATTGCTGAGAGAAGCAGCTGCAGCTAATTCGAAAAGTGGAGGGCAAGGCTATACACGCTGTCATTGCAAAAAGAAGTGTTCCACGAATAAATGCAGTTGTAAAAGCAAGGGACTCTTGTGCAATTCAAAGTGCCATAACAGTTTAAGTTGTTGCAATAAATAAGATTGTATAACGTTAATCACATAATTTATGTGTAAGTTTATTATTGTATTATTTTCTTTAATGATTTAGAATGTACTGTTTGTTTTAGGTTCAACAGTTTATTTACATGTACTGTTACTTAAGCTTTCTCCTATTTTCACATTAAAAAGTTGCATTTTTCTCTTAAGGTAATAAAGATATTTTTATTCAACATTCACCATCAGTGCATGCTGAATGTCGACATTTGCCAGTGTAAGTGAGAAATAATAATATTTAGCAAATATTTTGTACATACACGAAACGACTGTGTGAATGCTGACTTCACTGGAGAATGTTGACATTCGCCAGATATCGGTCATTCACAGTAACATATACACACAAAACAAATATATTACTGAAACATTATGAATTACAATAATATTAAAATAATTTAGCTTTAAAGTTCATAGTTAATGCAAATTATTTGATAACTTTAAATAATAATTAATAATTAAATTATTTATTTAGTAATTGATCTAATTCATTACTATTTTAAATAAAGTTTATTTTTATAATTATCAACAGGTATAATTTTGTATTTATTAGTCTTTATTAGCCTATTCCCACAGCAAAAATTTGTACATTTTTTATAAAGTAGTATCACACTGGTGTGCAGACTACATACGAGGGAAAACTATACAATAAAAATTTTGTTTACTTAATTTTCTATAAGAACTGATTAGTCCAGAACAAGACTTGCTTTGTCAAACACATTTATTCCATTGAATGACAAGTCAATGAAAGGCAAGTGTTGTTTTGGACTAATCTGTTCTTATAAAAAATTAAGTAAATTAAGAATGACAATGCAGTTTCAGGACTGGCCTTCTAAAAATTAAATAAAATCAAAAATTCTGATACCAATAACTGTTTTTGTTCAAAACACTTTTACATTCACATTATTATTCTCAGGAACAATTTCAGTCATTAAAATCATCATCATTATTTTTTCTGAATTTTCTAATGGTAGCTGTTTCATCTGTTGATTAAGTAAACATCTCTTCAATCCAAAAAATTCTTGTGTGGTTTTTTGAAAATTTAATAATTGAAATTTATTTTGTAGCACTGAAGAGGAGCTAGAAAGTTAACCTAGCTCAAAATGCATCTGTAAAAAACAATAAAAGAAGTTTTATAACCTAAATTGGCTATGAGGTAGTCTACCGAAAAATTTTTTGGATTGAAGAGATGTTTACTTAATCAATCATCATTATTGTCTATTTATGCATTTTCATTAGACTCAACATCCCTTTCATCTGAATCCACATCATACATCTCTTCATGTTCACTAATAGCAGAATCATCAGACTCTGTCACACTAGCAATTTTTCCCTCTTTCTGCCCTGTGAACTCTAAGGACGCCTTTTTTCCAAGCCTATCATAGATTTGGCCATGACACACAACATGGAAGTAGGAGGTGAGAGATGGGGTCCAACATATCTAGAGTAAGACATACCACCTCTACACAATTCTGGGGTTTTTCAACCCATCTAGATCCGTCCCTGGGCCCCCCAGATCTCAGCCATCTTGCTGAATGATGAACAGATTAGATTGAAACAGATAAAATAATTGAGATATCATAAAACAACAATAATACTTATCTCGTAACAAATTTTCTTCAAAAATATATTCTAGTTTATTAAAAAATACAAAATCTCTTATGAAAAATAAAGATTTCTTAAAATCCCTTGTTATTATCTTATTAAAAATATCCCAAATCACAATAAATCCCACAAAGAGATAACATGGCAACACTGATTCTAGTAACTAATCACAAGGTAATGAGAACAGGTCCCTTATTAACTCAGTTTCAGTCCCTGTTGCTGGGGACAGTAAAACTGAGTTAAGTCATCATCAGTAAATGGTCACAGTGTACAGTCTGTGGAGAATATACAAAATTTTTAAATGAGAAGCTTGTAGAATACTGCACAGTCTATCTGTAAGGGTGAATTATTGCCACAGGAATAAGATAATAAATATTGAATAATTTATTAACATTCTTTTCATAAAATATCTGTAACATTTTAAAATATATTACAAAAGAGATATCAAATAAACTTAACATAATCTATAAATTTGATATTAATACAACAATTAAGAATTACTTACTATTGTTGATTTAATTTGTAACGGAAGTGAACGTCTTTTGATTCCAGTCATTGCAACAGTTTGAGCACGACGAATACTAGATGTCCTGCGCAAACTCCCAAAATTATCATTACTAAACAAAGAACAATTTCCAACAGCAGGAAATAAACCTCGACACGAAACAAATAACTGACAGATGTAATCCCTAAAGAGGCAAATATTAAGAATAAAGTAAGATAAATATCTATAAAAAATAATTTCATTGAAAAAATAACACCTGATTACTAATTAAATAAATAGTTTTATTTATAATTTATATAACAATTATTACTATATTATTTAAATTAAATTTTAAACATATTTTTTAAAATATTAAATATACTTAAGTTTAAATGATGTATTTTTGTATGATACAAAAGTTGTATGATACAAAAGAGTTCACCAATATTTTTGGGAAACAAGAGCACAATTAAAAGTAATTGCCATTGCCATTTAGACAACTGTCTCACTTAGTGATTAGTTTATGGATACCATTGTGGAAGAAAGTCTTCAATTGTTCTTGAAACCATTTCTCAACAATGCACATAAAAATCACCATCCAACATAAAGTGCCTTCCTTCAAGCCTTTCTTCAAATGTCCAAAAATATGGTAGTAACAAGGCAACATATTTGAAAAATAAGATGGATGGTCCAAGTTTTGGAAGATTGCATATTGATAGTGTCACGTCATCCACTTCCTTCAGCCATTAGCATTTTGCTTGGACACCCTGAGCATGCTTGCCTGGTGATGTCTTTGAGACCTTTCCTAAACAGTAAACTCAATCTTGTGACATTTTGGAATAACAAGCAAGCTCTACCATATACTGCTAACATCCATCTATGGATTTTGGCCATTCCACAAGAAACTGGATCACAGCTTGCTGATCAGTTTTGGAGATTCAGTATTGTGGCACACATTTACATTTGCATTTCCTTCCTGCAAATTCATGTGCCAGACTAACACATTGTTCAGAAATGTAAATCATACAGTCCTAATCAACCATGTAACAATTTGACTTCCTGACACCAACTCTTGCAACTTTTAGCTCATGCCAATAGTATATTTGCTGAAATTTTATGTAATTTATTTTATCTACAAGATTTAAAATATATTAGAAAATACTAAATTGAATTTTTTTTTTAAAAATTGATGTTATCAACACTAATTTCATTCAACATAATTGTAAATAAGTTTAAAAAATCTAAATAATTGTGTTAAGAAACAAGAAAAAGCAATTCTTTACAGGCTATTTACTAATAAATTACAAAATTTTCTGTACTATTTTACTGCAATGGTAACTAAGTTTTACCATCAATGCACAAATTAGTGATTTGTTCATCTTAAATACATACAAAATACTGTTGTTGTTATTATATTAAATTATACTTTAACGAGTATAAAAAAATTGAGCCAGAAATGACACTAATTATCTTGAGAAACACAAATCCAATAAGCATAATAGTAAAAGCACCAAATCAACAACAGAATTGTTGAAAATAACATCTCAAATACAATAGTAGAGATAACAGAGTCTTATCACACTGCTACTGGTAACATTAAAATGACACTTCTACCATCAGAATGAAACCTTATTACTGGTATGCATTTCGGTACACAAAACCTTCATCAGTCATACATAAAAATATATAGGTATCTACAACAAAATATATTATGTTTACAGTTAAAATAATATGAATATAATATGAAATATGAAAGTGTAATGTGTGTACAAGGTATTTTCAAAAAAAATTAAAAAATTGATGAAACTTTATAATATTATAGTAACACCAGACTTAAAAAATGACAATAGGCTTCATATTCACTAAAATTAAACAACCTGCAGATACAATTGATATTTTGTAAAAAAACTGGAGTAGTCTATACTTTTAATTGTAAATTGTGACTCTTGTTATATTTATGTAAGAGAAACCAAAAGAACTTTGGTTACTGGATTATCAGAATATATACAATCAATTAAATATGGTTATGTAAATTCGGCAATGGCTGTGCACTACAAGTATAGTTGTGAAATAAATAAAATTTTAAAAAATAAACATTATTTAATAGATAGACAATATTACAAGCATTTAAGAATACTAGATGTTGNTACATATAAGTAAACATAGTAAGAAAGTATATAATTTTTTATTTTTTGGGGTTTCCAGAACAAATTAATCAAATTCTCATAAAAATCTATGGTAAATTGATAATCGGTTAATGAACAGTTCGGGTAGTGAACAGTCTTGGAATGGATTATGTTCATTAACCGATCACTTATTGTACACAATTTAAATTTATCAATTTTTAAAAGTTAAGGTATGTTTTAAATTGTAGATTGTAATTGTTATCAGTTTTTCTATTAATTTGTTTCTACAACTGATTAGTTTCAAGAAATTTTATTTTGTAATGGAATCTTACACTTTTTGTATTATTTTAATTGTAAACATAATATATTTTGTTGTAGATACTTATATATTTTTATGTATGGCTGATGAGGGTCTTGTGTATCGAAATGCATACCAGTAATAAAGTTGCATTCCATTGCTAGAAGTTTGTTTTAATGTTACCAGTAGCAGTGTGATAAGTCTCTTTGTTATCTTTACTATTGTATTTGAGATATTATTTTCAACAATTTTTCGAGACAATAAGCTCTTTTATGAAACAACAGAATTGTAAATTATTGACAGAGACATTACAGGGAAATAGCTAATGTGATGAATTAACTTCTGAGGGTGTCTTTCAAATACTCATCAATGTATGTGAGCATGCATGTTTGTAGAGTCAGAAAGATTTTATTTACAAACAATAAAAAATTCATCTCTATCTTTCTCCTTCTGCCTTTTTTGTCTGATCTCACTAGTCCTTCATTCCACCCAATTGGTAAAAATTTCTGAAAAGAACTCTGGAAATACATCTTTGTTCAAACACCAACATAAACATAATATTAAAGGATTCTTTTATCTTAAAACATATGATAACATAATAGTAGTAAACGTTTTCAATATAAATGCATTCAGTCTTAATTGCTACAGTTTAAAATTAAACAAAATAATAAAAAAAAATTAATTATTTTATTCAACCACTTATATTAAATCTATTACTAGTATTTTTTACATAAAATATTATAAAAATTTCTAATAGTTATTCTTACTTTTTTGAATCTTGAAGAATTGTAGCAGCATGTCGAGTAACTGGAAGTTCACGACTATTTCTTATCCATCCAGTTACATTATATATTACAGAACTTGTTCCAAAAAAATGATTTAAAATAAACTGATGTCCATGTTGACCTCGCTGAATAAGATGTTGATTTTCTAAATAAAAAAAAAATTTAATTTGAACTTGTATAACAAAATAATGTAATAATAAATAATAATGAAATAAATGCTAACAATATTATAATTAATGTTAACCAAACAATTACCTAATTCAAAACTAAACTGGATAATGGCTACACAGAAATGAACAATGTGTAAAAAAAAATCTGTCATTAATGAAGATAGTAGATAATGTGTCTAATTATGGAATTTAAGAATGCATTATTTATTAATTTAAAGCACCTAGGAAAAACCCGTTAGAAGAAAGATCATATAAATCTCAACTTCCTGAAGCTGAATAACCATATTTTTAAAAATAATTAGCACTTATTAGTTCCTCCAAAATTAATTTTATTTTTTACAAATAAGAATTTTGAAATTATTACAAAATTATATAGGTTAACTTTTCCCAAACTGCAAGATATGCTTTTGCCCATATGCTTCTTGTCAATGAATATGGAGGTTATTCAGCTAGATAAATTATCTTCATTGACATTCAACTAACTAAATACCAATAGAATTCATGGGAACAAAGCTGTACTCATAAGTGTATTCACACTTAACCTACATAATTATATTATGATTTCAAAATTCTTATTTATTCACAGAGAACTGTTTGTTAATTATTAACAGATAGCAGATCTACTTTCATTACTGTGAGATTACTACAAATTATTAATTTTCATTTAGCTAACATATAGCCCAACATATATTGTAATTGTTGATTAATATTATAAAATAAATGTGGTGTATGCATTCTATTCATTATATATAGTTATATACAATATATCTATTATTTGCTTAAGTATTTATTTTACATTATTAAATGCAGTTTAATAAAATTATTCTGTAACTTTTAAACTATTCTAAATGCATGATATAATATACCATTACTATAATGATCAATTAATTTCCAATCTAGTACTATAAAACTATAATTCAATTTGTTGTCAGTTAGAATATTGCCATCATATTCATCTTCTATTTTCAACAATATATATTCAAAACAGACAGTATTTAAAAAATTAAATTAAATTTACAAAACTGGAATGATTATGCTAATGTCAGATGAATGAGAATATTACTCAGAAAGATGTAGTTCTGAAGAATATTGCAGAAGTTCTATAAGAGCAAGCTTACATAAAATTTAAATTTTTTTATCTGTGAATATTATATTAATGTAAAAATAATTACACACTTTATTCATTCAATATATTATATTGTGTGAATTTTGTATTTTTATTAGCATATTTAAAAAATACAAAAATAAATCTTGTTTACATTCAAAATAATGCTTACCTCGAGTTACACAGTTGTTAAATATTTTCTCTATAAAAGCTCTTTCTGAACTTCCAGGTAAAATGGATACTTCATCAAGAACACTTAATATACCTCTATCACAAAATTCTTTTAAATCTGAATTTGAATTTCTTATTGTTACTTGGGAAGGTGTCTGTTCTATTAGGTTTATCATTGAAGAAGGAGATGTTACAAAAAATTCTTCTGTATCCCAAGAAATATTTTCCTAAATATATTAAAATTTATATTAATAAACTAAACATTTTTGAAACATCAAAAAGAATGAAATTAATAAAACTATACTTGTGTAAAATAATTAATAAAAATTATTATTTATTAACAAAAATACACAATATTTCAGACATACATATAATAATTAAATGAATTCAAAATCTACTTAATGCAATATTTAAAAAAATACTCAAATTATACTTTATTTATTATATTGAATATTAAATTATTTTATCTAAATAATTTGAATCAATTATTTAAATCATAAAATAGAAATAAATAACATATCACATTAATATGGTGTCTGAAATATTTATCAGGTTATGAACTTCAAACTTTATACATTTGTATTTAACAGCTTTGTTCATTTTATAAAGTTGACTAAATTGTGTGTATAGCCATTCTATATTGGGTCCCATGAAATGTTCACTTTTCAAAAGGAATGTTAAAATTTCAGGGAGGTTCACATAGGATGATCACTTGAGTCTGATCAGAAACTGCCCCATAATAAAAGGGATAGACCTCATATTAATGAATAGGATATATATTATCTTATTGATATTAACATATTTATCAAAATAAATTAATATAAATTTAAATAATATATTAAAAATCTAATACACAATAAATGTAGCAATACATAGAAATATACTAAACTAATTTTAATGGTGATAATTTTTGTCTATAAAATTTTCAGGTATCTTCTCTAAGTAAATTCCTGTTTAAAATATCTATTAAACTATCGAATAAGATATTTGTTCAACAAAGTGTGAATTTTCATTCACTAATTTACATAAAGGATAAAGCGTCTACAGAGAAAAGTCAATGTCAGTGAGATATTTTGATATAGTGCAAATTCATAAATGTATTTGAAATTTTCTTTTCTAAATATATTTTTTAAAAGATGTAAAGTCTACTGGAATTTTTTTGTATACTTATGCATCACTTGTCATTTATAGTATGTTCTATGAAGTAAGATGTTATGTGATTTAGACATTGTGCAAACATCTTATATACCGGTACATATATAGCAAAGCTATATAGGATACTGTAGTGTACCTGTATTGACTAAATAACCAAACTATTGTACTGTACACATACACTATTGAAATGCTTATTATGTAATTATTCTTAAATGTCATAATTTTTTATTTGTTATATAATAATTACGAGGGTCATTCTAAAAGTAAAGAATGTTTGTTTCTGTACGTATTTTTATTTATGATAATGAAACAAAACTTATTTTACAACACACATGATACCTTAGCTATATTTCTACATAGTTGCCAAACAAATTTAAACATTTGTCATAGCGTATCATCAGCTTTTCTATGCCTTCTGCACATTCAATTACCACCAAGTTCTTGAATTAGTCATTAATGGCCTTTCAGTTTGTTGTCACTTCCATAGTGATTCCCAGCTAAAAAATCCTTCAATTTTGGGAAAAGGTGTAATCACTCAGAACCTAGTCCAGGCTATAAGAAGGATGTTCAAAAACTTTCCACAAAACTGCTGAAGCAAGTTCTTTGTCAATGCAGCAGCATGCAGACATGCGTTATCCTGAAAAAGCACAATGCCTCTGGACAATAATCCCTACTGTTTGTTTCAAACTGAAACTTCATTAAATCACATTACCATAAACCTCAGTTATCTGTCTGTAAATTTCGATAGGGCGGACATTTTTTGCATTCAAAACCGTATTACACTATGAACCTTGCACTTGGCGAAATCTTTAATTTTGTCACACATTTCAAAGTCACACTGTAAATAGTAAATGATCGTTGTGGCTTGCAGTTAGCATCAGATTGGCACAAAAACATGGAAAGGTTCATGACGCAGCAGTGGAGGGTGGTAGGAGAACTGCACAGCTTGTCAGATCAAAACATTCTTTACTTTTAGAATGACCCTTGTATTTTAAAACCAAAAAAAATCTGAAAATTTTTTGCAAGATTTTCCAGAAACTAAATTTTAGGACCCAACAATGCTAGTTACATAGCTTCAGGCTTGGCAGAGCAATTGCTTTGTACACAAGATGTAAGATCAGTTTTTTCAAGATCAAACTTTCTCACTATACTAATCACATTTTCCCATCAGTTTAGGCAAACATTCCCCAAGATTTTGAGAAAAATGTTCCATTTTCCAATATTATAACCTCATATGTGTGATTGAATGCTGCTTAAACAGATGTTATGCTGACTTTACTTTTAATTAAATGAAAATAAGTAGCCTTAAAATTATTCTATTTTTAGAATATAAGTTAAATTAGAAAGCACAATAAACTGCTTTCTAACTTGAAAAGAATTGTTTTTGATATTTATGTAAGTAATTTGTATAACAATATCTGAATAATAAATCTAATCTAATAATCTAAATAATTAAAAATAAATAATTTTATCTTCTCTGAGCTGATGGAAGTCAACTACAGAAAGAATAAAAACAATCTCCATGAGTGGCCTACAAGAAAAGACTGAAGTAAGTATTTTGTCAGCTATGAAACTTTTCCATCAATATCATCATTTTCTATTGTTCTTAAAAATTCTTTTTTAAATTAAAATGTGACAAAGTCTTTTTGAAACTTTTGTAAGTTTTACTAATAAATATATTTTAAACAACTTAAAGGCCTACTTGTGCATATCTTTCTTGCATTGCTAAGAAACTTGAATTATGAAACAAACATTGTAGTCTTTCTTGACAGTAATTATGACAAAAATCTTCTAATGTAGCACCATTTTGCCGACCACAAGTAGCAGGATTCTGAAAACCAGGTGAATCAATAATATGTATAGAAGCAACAGTCCTCCCTCCAGATGAAAGTGATCTAAAAATTAAAAATTGTATTACTATTATACAATTTATTATTGCAAAAAAATTTTTTATTTTTTAAATTTCATCCTTACCGATTAATAAGAGTGAGCAGAACTGAGAAAATTTCTCCATATAATCCAGCTACTATAGCTTGAAGTGCTTCAATTGCTTCAATTCCACCTTCACTAGTAATTAAATTTATTATTAATTTATTTTTACATTTTTGGAATAATTTTGAATACATTTTGTAATGTTTAGCATTTAATGTTTTTTTTGTTTTGAAGTAATATATGCTCATAAATGCTTTGCATGCTTTTCTATATTGTTAGTCATAATTCATAAAAATATGACAAAAAATTCTTATGCAATATGATGTCTCAGGAACTAACCCATCCACAATAACTGAAAAACTTAACATTTAATCTCAATAAAGTAAATTCAATCCAATTTAAGCAAAATATTCTGTTGTCATAGAACAAAAACAAATCACCACTATAACAATTCAAACAATAATTTCAAACATAGGTTTAGCTATATAACTTTTAAAGAAGCTACATCGAAGTTTCAAACAACTAAAAAAATATTCCAAAAAACTAATCATTTTCTGAAGTTAGAAAGTTATTTGCATCTTTCTTATTAGAATATCCATATATAACAGTAAATATCCCACTCATGAACACCCTATCAATGGTCATGACTGATATTAATTAGTGCTACCAATCAGCTAAACATAATGTCAAACACTAATTATTTCTTGTCTAATCTACAGTAGCTTATTTGTAAAACTAAAGTCCAAAAATCATTTTTGATTTAAATAAAGGACTAAATAAAATAAATATCACTACACATACACTATTGAAATGCTTATTATGTAATTATTCTTAAATGTCATAATTTTTTATTTGTTATATAATAATTACGAGGGTCATTCTAAAAGTAAAGAATGTTTGTTTCTGTACGTATTTTTATTTATGATAATGAAACAAAACTTATTTTACAACACACATGATACCTTAGCTATATTTCTATATAGGTCGCCAAACAAATTTAAACATTTGTCATAGCGTATCATCAGCTTTTCTATGCCTTCTGCACATTCAATTACCACCAAGTTCTTGAATTAGTCATTAATGGCCTTTCAGTTTGTTGTCACTTCCATAATGATTCCAAGCTAAAAAATCCTTCAATTTTGGGAAAAGATGTAATCACTCAGAACCTAGTCCAGGCTATAAGAAGGATGTTCAAAAACTTCCGACAAAACTGCTGAAGCAAGTTCTTTGTCAATGCAGCAGCATGCAGATGTGTGTTATCCTGAAGAAGCACAATGCCTCTGGACAACAATCCCTACTGTTTGTTTCAAACTGAAACTTCATTAAATCACATTACCATAAACCTTGGTTATCTGTCTGTAAATTTCGATAGGGTGGTCATTTTTCATATTCAAAAACTGTATTACACTACGAACCTCACACTTGGCGAGATCTTTAATTTTGTCACACATTTCAAAGTCACACTGTAAATAGTAAATGATCGTTGTGGCTCGCAGTTAGCATCAGATTGGCGCAAAAACATGGAAAGGTTCATGACGCAGCAGTGGAGGGTGGTGGGAGAACTGCACAGCTTGTCAGATCAAAACGTTCTTTACTTTTAGAATGACCCTCGTATTTTAAAACCAAAAAAAATCTGAAAATTTTTTGCAAGATTTTCCAGAAACTAAATTTTAGGACNCTACAGTAGCTTATTTGTAAAACTAAAGTCCAAAAATCATTTTTGATTTAAATAAAGGACTAAATAAAATAAATATCACTTTACAGAATTTAGAAATATTTACTCTATATATTAAATCTAATAAGCTGAATTCATTTCACCATTTTAAATTTGTAAATAAATTCTTCAATATGCATATTAAGTGGTCTACTTAAGACAAGATAACAATGTCCTATATTTGCAGGATATGGTCTAATTATTTAGCATTGTAAGAATAAAACTCTCAAATCTACATAAAGTTTTTCTGAAGTACAATTTATTTATAGAAAATAACATTTAGATCTATATAGAGTGCAGATGTCAATGATTTTTTTCAGAATGAAAATTCAAATGATGGACTGGTCAGTCAGATTTCTGGATTGGATTGAATTAAATACATCATGTTGAGGTGATCTAGACAGAGAATTTGCAAATTGATCAAAACCTTAAATGAGCTAAGTTCTGATCTTGTCGAAGAGTGTAATTTTTTTTCTATAGAGTTGATTAATTAACAAGCTTATAATGAGTACGATTCATCATTATAAAAATTTCTGAACACAAGAAGGAATTATATTTTCTATTTAACTCTGCATTGAAAATATTTGATATCTCAGTTTGAAATCATATGTTAGCTTGATCATAATTCAATAAAAACAAAGACTTGTTACATATAATTGATAATGCAAAAATAAGAAACATTATAGTTACATTTGATTATATAAACATAATTTTATAGTTATATTAACATACATAATAGGTTTCAATAAATTTTGTTAAGTGACTTTGATTTATTTTTTGAAAATGACTTTTAGATTAATTTTGAATACAATCGTAATTTATTATGCCGATCTGATAGTCTAGGATGCTATAATATTAAAAAGGATTCGATTGAAAAGTTATTAATAAATACTCTGCATTTCTTATATATGCGACAGATAACTATATAATCTCTTTCTCAATATAGATAGCTTTCTGACCTTATAGAAATAGGGCACAAAAACATTTTTGTTCAGAATACCTGGCATTCTAAAATAGTCTTCTTAAAAGTTATATGATTAGACTTTGCATTTGTGTTTATATTGATTATACTTATGCTTTGTTGCTATAACAACAGAATGTTTTGTTTTAATTGGTCTGAACTGAATTTGTTTCTCTTCAGAGAAGCTGAACTGAAGATTCTGCATTTCTTGGAGTACCTGAAATATCTAAAACATCCAGAGATTTGAAAGTGTAAGAATAGTTATCTTGTGTAAGAAACTTATGTTAAAGCATGATAATGATGATGATTCACAGTAACACTTTAATAAATGAATGACATATTTACAAAATAAAACATATTTACCTAGAAGGATATTTTCCAAGTGATGCAGATGAATCTGAATTAAAAATTCCTTTTGATAATTCTTCAACAGTGGTACCTAATAAATTAGCAGCTTTTTGTGCACTTTGAGGTTTTGTAAATTGAGGTCTTCCATTTGTAGCTATATTAATTTAAATCAACAAAATTAAAATTCAAGAACATTCCTTATCACTTTCAATGGTAGACAAAAATAATAATAAAATTCAAAAAAGTCACCTCTGGAGGCACCAGCAACTCCCAAGTGATATATTGCTGCTAAAATATTAAGAATAGCTCTTAATTCTTTTTCTTGAATTTCAAGTGTTTGCATTGCAGCTTTAATGTACATCCAAGATAAGCTTGCTTTCTGTTGATCATCAATCTTTAAAATTACAATAAAAAGCTAATTAAAAGCAATTTTCAGCAAGCAAACATAAGTGTCTAACATTAAAATAAAAACCAATTTATATGTTTTAAATTAATAAAGAATAAAAATTATAATCCAAAAAGTAATTCTGAAAAATTAATTTAAATTTACAATTAATTTTGGAAAAATTAATAAAATATGTTGACTGCATTAATAAGTTGACTAATTATAAATATTATAAATATAAATATGTATCACTTACCCTTTGCAATGGAGTCATAAATAAGCAAGTTTCAGTTAAATTTTCTAAGTATAATTCTTTCCTATTGAATTAAAATAAATATTTTTATTAAATAAATTTCTTAATTGAATTTTTCATTTCATAATGTAATTTTATTAAAAAATCATCATTAATCTCTGACATTATTAAACATACAAATAATTATTTTAAATGAGTTTATCAAAGTCATAAAATTTGCATCATCATCATATTAATTTAAGTTCTAAAAATGTTCATTTTTAAAACACTTTCTTCTATAACAGTTTCTATTAAAATTTAAACACAAATATCCATGTCCAAAGTCAGATTTGAATGTAAAAAGCTAACAAACTGAATAAAAAAATCTTAACTCTGTTGCCAGTCAGCAAAATTTATTTATTTAATTAGCAAATATATTATAAAATTTATCTTTTTCTTATTTTGTTTTTAAAATCATAAAATTTTGTTGTTGTTCTTACTTAAAATAATTCAGAAGAAATTATATTTTTGATTACAATAACATATTATCTAAGTAAAATTCATGTAATAAACTGAGTTTTATATTGTTACCTCAAAATATTAAAAGTTTGGTTTTTACATTATTTTCCAATGTTTTAAATTTAATATTATTTTCAATTTACTATTATTTAGACAGTTTGTTATAAACACTTGACAGATACAATAATATAGGATTAAATATGAAATGATACCAAATACTTACTATATCAATTTCTATTTTTATATAAATTTTAAAATTTTAAATACATTTTGTCATTACTTTGAAAGTAAGGACAAAAAAGATATTTTAATATTAACTTTAAATAGGACTAAATTTAAGTTTTTAAATTTACAATTTATAGATTAAATAATTTATTTAATAACTATTAATTTAAAAAATTTATTTCAGTTTATTAATTTTATACACTTATAATAAATCCTAAAAACTTCACACAATTCTTACATCATATAAACTATATTTGAATGATTAGTATTTACAACTTGATATGTTAATATAAAAACTAATAAAACATAAAACATATATTTTTTTTAAAAAGTTAATTGTACATATACTTAATTTATATTAAAAACATTAAATTTAGAATACTTGTAAATATTTTCAAATGCTTATGAAAACAACAAAGGATTACATAAACATTAAATTTTTTTAGCTATGTTAAGTAAAATTACTAATCATTAATAATTATACAAATCAATGTTTTAATGTAAGTAAATTTAAATTTTAATAATTAAAGTTTAAATTATATTTTAATTCATGCAAATCTCACCTGTTTGGCTTTAAAATCAATATTTTTCAAATGAAATTACTGTACTAAACTTTTTTGAAACTGAATAATGTATTTATATTAAACAATGAACTAGATCAATTTTAATACTAATCAAAATTAAAATACGAATATGCATTCAAATTTGAAAATATAAAAATATCAATTATAATATTTGTGATAAGAAGTCACAATCACAATATTTAACTTTCATTAGTTTACATTAGAATACTCTGCTCTTCCAAATAAAAATGTTGTATTATTTTTACATATCATTCATAGCTACAAAAATAGAATTAAACAGTTGGCTTTTTATTCATGACAAAAGGTCAACTTAACTGATGTTTCAATCAAGTTCCTGTAGCTATGAAGAGTATTAAAGAAAGCTAAAAACTTTTATTTGTGTTTATCTTCAATTCTAACATTGTTTAAATATATTTTATTTAATTGTTTTTTTTATTATTTTTTTTAGATTGTTATTAAATTATTTGTCAATTTTTTTCTGTAAAGATGTTTTAAGTTCAATTCCAAATAAACTCTGTCCTATTAATAATTCTAAGAAGAAACAAATTCTACTGTTTGAAATAAAACTTTTGATATCATAATTTATAACTTTGGTATTTAGATTTAGAAAACTAAATCTAAATACCAAAGTTATTCAATGTTGCATATAATTTTAATATTTTCAAAACTAAAAAAATATAAATAATTATAAATTTTTTTTTTAATATATATATATATATAAGAGGGGTGGAGCTGACTGGTGTGGCTGTGGTGTATTTTCTAGTGAAGCTTGTCTATGGTTTTTAACCTACTAATTGAAATTAATTGTTTTGGGTTTTGAACAAGTTCCAAGATGTGGAAATTTACTAATTGTTTAAGCTTAAAATTAATTATTTGTCTTCTGATAAAGGCTGAAATAGAACCCAATCCTGGTCCTCTCCCTCATCCCCCCTCAAATGATGAGTCGTTTTGATATGCAAAAGAAGGGGCAAGGCCAGCCTCGGAAAGAAAGTGTTAAAGAATTAAGTACAGAATGTCTAGAGGAAGAAATACTGAGGGAAGATTTTTTACAGTTTGTAGAGGATTCTGACGGATATAATTCTGAAGCTATTAAACCTTCGAAAATTTCTGAATATTTTGAACCATTATCTGCTAAGGAATGGTTCAAAATATACAAACAGACTCACAGGTACAAACAGACTCACTGTATTCGTTGAAATCAATTTATGAATTGATACAAAATAATTTCTCACAGTTGAGCCAAGACATACAAGGCATTAAGAAGGANGTATAAAAAAATCTGTTGAGGCCAATTGTTGAGTATCTGGCTAGAATATTTAATGATTTATATAATACAGGCATTTTGCCTAAAGAATGGAACAAAGTTATTCTATACATGATTTATAAAAAAGGTGATAGAACACAACCAGCTAACTATAGAAAATAATTTCTCACAGTTGAGCCAAGACATACAAGGCATTAAGAAGGAGCTACATCATATTGAACAAGGCATTAAGAAGGAGCTACATCAATAGAAAAGAATAAAAAGTATCAGGGAGAAATGGAGAAATTATCGCAAAAAATGGAAAAATCAGATGCTCTAGTTAAGTACAATAGTCATCTAAAAGCTACGTTGGAGTTTGAATTAGATAAACTAATTAATGAAAAAACTAAAAACAATATTATCATTATAAATTTTCCCTTTACTATGACTGACTTTATAAATGAAATTAACCAATTTATTAGAGAGATATTAGAAATTGAAAATTGATCTATTGAAAGTTAAACTAGATTAAGTGATAAAGATATTAACCTTATTGTAAAGATAATATTAGATTCTGAATATTATAGAAATTTAATTTTAAAAAATTCTGGATTTCAAGAGCTAAATTTAACAATGAAGAGAACAGGAAAGTAATTTTAACTACTGATCTATGTAAGAGATCTAGAGTTAGACAGAAAAAATTACAGCCTATAATTAAACAAGAAAGAATAAAAGGAAATAAGATAGTCATTAGAGATGACTATTATATTCAAGACAAGAAAATATATACGTATGATAACAATCTAGACACTGTTATACAACTGGATACTTTTTAGGATAAAAATGACTAAACCCTTAGAATTAAACAGGAAAAATATGAAAGAAGTTTTAATTAATTTTAACACAGAAAAGATGGAGTTAAATAAGGAAGAAAATGTTAATACAGATATACAGATAGATAATGATAAGTCAATTAGTTCCTTTTGTTATATAAATACAAATCTGAATGATAGTAATAATTTATTAATTGGCTTCTGGAATATACAAGGATTGCAAGGAAAACTTCAAAGTGCAGTTCTAAGGAATTACATGAAACATTATTCTATTGTTGGTTTTACAGAAACTTGAATAATCAATCTGTGTGAAGAAGATAAGAAATTTCTTGAATGAGATTATACAGTGTTAACAAGTAAAGTGCTGAGATTCAGCAAATTTGGACATCCGTCTGGTGGTCTTATGTTACTAGTAAAGAAAATTTTTGGTAGGATTTTTTCATGTTATACAACCAATGCTTTTACATTCTTAATAATAGATATCAATCAGAATCTTCATTTTGTCTGGGGACATGTATTGGTTTAATACTTATATATTTTTCTCCCCTAGTTGATAAAAAGACAAGTTTACAGGACTTACAAAAAGCTATTGATCCATGAATTAACGTTATAAATTATTGGATATTAGGTGATGACTTTAACATCCCATTGGAGAAATTATAGATTTAAAATATAAAGATAATAATGATATTAAAAATATAAGAATATCTGTGAAAAGATAAAACTGTGAATGCAGATGCTTATACACTTAAACTTCACACAAGAAAATGATTTAGTCTTACTGAATGGTAGGATCAAAGGTGATTTTCCGGCTGAATTTACCTTTATTTTACATATGGGCAAATCTATCATAGATTTCATTATGTGTTCACAATCTATGTTGGATCAATGTTTATCAATGGAAATACTAAATATGGATGAGTCCAACCACTTTCCAATAAAACTGACATTAAGAGGGAATATAGACAAAACCAATTCAACTAGGTTGTCTGAACTTCCCCCAAAATCAATGACGGGGCCGAGAGGAAAGTTTAATTTACAGAGATTTCTAAGAGAGTTAGAATTCCAAACCAACAAACTGTTAATACAGGAGAAGATCAATAATCCTCGTAACAATTATAATTGTTTGATGATGTTATTACATTCGTTCTATTTTTAAAAAAACAAGAATGATATGTCTACTAAATTTAAACAAAATCGGTTCCATAATAAATGCTATTACTATAAAATCAAAAAGCAAAAGAGTTTACAACAATTTCGGAAAACTAATTTGATTATTACTTGACAAAGTATCTGATAAACAAGATAATATATAGAAATTTAATTAAAGCTAAAAGAAAAAATATTTTACTACTGTAAGTGATTCTTTAATAGGTCAAAAAGACACTAAATATTTTTGGATTATTATAAATGGTTTCCATAGACTTCCAATGTCAGCTGACAGACTAATAATTCCTTTGGGTATTTGGTATAAATACTATAAAGATTTTTCAATATGTTATTCAACTAACAATAGAATGAGTGAAATTTATAATGAACAATGGAAAAATCAACTATATGCAAAACTAGTTAATGTGGAGATCTTGTATTATTATATTAACAAATTAAAAGATAAAACTGCTCTGGGATATGATGCAATACCAAACTTTGTAATAAAAAAATCTGTTGAGGCCAATTGTTG